ATCACCGGCCCCCAGGGCGTCACCTGGGAGGAGTCGCGGGTATAGACCTGATAGGGCAGGTGCGGCTCCGGCACGGTGTAGTGGCAGACGACGCCGGCGGCCTCCAGCGCCCGGACCAGGCCGTCGTACTGCGCCTCCAGCGCGCTCTGCTCCGGCCGGGCGGGGCCGGCGGCCAGGGTCTCGCGCGCGATCGCGTTGGTCGGCTGCCAGGCATAGTGATCCGGCCGGCAGAGCAGCACCTCGCGCAGCCGTCCGGTCTCGCTGTCCACCCGCCAAGTCTGGGTCATGCGCCGCTTCGCCTCCCGCTCGAAAAGCCGGGCGATGCCCTGCGGCCGGGCAACACGCCGAGGCGAGTCACGCGGGCCGGGCAGCGCTCCGGGTCGCGGCCGGAGGCCGCAGCGGCGCGGCCTTCAGCCTTCCTCCCCCACCTCGTAGCCGAAGCGGCGGGCGCGGCCAAGCACCCAATCCCACAGGCTTTCCGCGAAGCCGCGCGCAACCAGCAGGTCGAACGCCGGCGCCGCCGAGCGCAGGTGCAGGGTCACCGCGATCGGGCCGAGCTGGGTCGCCGCGCAGGCGCCGGGCGCGAAGCGCTCGGGCGCCAGGTCGACGGCCGTGCCGCAGGCCAGCAGGGCCCGCGCCTCGGGCCCGCCCAGGCGGATCAGGCTGCGGCCGTGGCTGAGATCGAGCAACGCGGCCGTGTCCCCCACCAGGTCGCGCAGCTCGGCCGCCAGCGCGCCCTCGCCGTGCCCCTCGGCCAGCACCAGCAGCGTATCGGGCGCGGTGTGCAGCACGCGCGGGTTCTCGCCGCGGCTCTGCCCGGGGGCGGGCATGGCGCCGAAGCGCGCGGCGATGCGCGCACCCAGCGCCGCCGCCTGACCGCGCCCCGCCTCCAGGCTGACGAGCGAAGGCGCGGGCGGCACCGTCAGGTGGATGCCGACCTGGCCCTCCGCCGGCCGCCGCTCGGGCAGGGCGATGCCGGCCAGCGGGCCGAGGCGGCGGGCGGATTGGGGACCGGCCTGGGAACCGGCCTGGGAACCGGCCTGGGGGGCGGCCTGGGGGGCGGCTTGGCGTGGCTCAGGCATGCAGACGCTCGTGCTCGGGGTCGACGAAGACCGGCGCGCAGATCCGGGCGCGGAACAGCCCCTCGCGCAGGGGGTCGTAGACTGTCACCTCCTCGCCCAGACGGTCGCGGCCGTGCTTGAGAAAGGCCAGACCGAGGTAGGAGCCGAGGATCGGCGAGTAGCAGCTCGAGGAGATCCAGCCCTGGTCCGCCTCGACAGAGGGGCTGTCGCCCGGCGTCAGCAGATGGGCCCCGGCCCGCAGCGGCGTCTCGGCCGAGGTCGGCCGAATGCCCACCAGCACCGGCCGGTCGTCCGCCTCCAGCGCCGGGCGGCGGCTCATCGCGCGGCCGATGTAGTCCTTCTTGCCCGACAGCAGCTTGCCCATGCCCAGATCCTGGGCGGTGGTGCGGCCGTCCAGCTCGCCGCCGGCCGGGTGGCCCTTCTCGATGCGCAGGGTCGACAGCGCCTCGCCGCCGTAGGGCACCAGGCCGACCTCGGCGCCGTAGCGCAGCAGCGCGTCGGCCAGCTCCTCGCCGTAGTCGGCCGGCACCGCNNCTCGTAGGCCAGCTCGCCGGAGAAGGAGATACGGAAGATCCGCGCCGGCACCCCGCCCAGCACCGTGGTCTCGGCCACGGCCAGGAAGGGGAAGGCCGCGTTGGAGAGGTCGAGATCGTCGACCACGCGCTCCAGCACGCGCCGCGCCTGGGGTCCGGCCAGCGCGACCTGCGCCCACTGGTCGGTGACGCTGGCGACCTGCACGTCCAGCTCCGGCCAGAGCGCCTGCAGGCAGAACTCCAGGTGCGCCAGCACCGGCCCGGCGTTGGCCGTGGTGGTGGTCATCAGGTAGTGCTGCTCGCCCAGCCGGCTGGTGGTGCCGTCGTCGAACACGAAGCCGTCCTCGCGCAGCATCAGACCGTAGCGCGCCTTGCCCACCGGCAGGGTCTTCCAGCCGTTGCTGTAGACCCGGTTGAGCAGGGCGACCGCGTCGGGGCCCTGGATGTCGATCTTGCCCAGGGTGGAGACGTCGCAGATCCCGGCGCGGCCGCGCACCGTCTCGACCTCGCGGCACATGGCGGCGAACCAGTCCTCGCCGCCGCGCGGATAGTGCGAGGGGCGCATCCAGGCGCCGGCCTC